CATACAGCAACTAGAAGGATGTGCAACTATGACATACAACTATCTACTGGGGCTTTGGGGGGAAAAAATAAATAAATAAATAAAATCTTTAAAGGAGAGAGAAGTGGGGCCTGAAGATAAAAAATTTTTTTTACACCTGAGAATAACCACTGTGTATTTGTTTCTACTAGCTTTATTGAGATATAATTTACATATCATAAAATCCACCCATATATAATTCAATGGTTTTTTAGTACACAAAATGGTTTTTTAGCATATAATTCCATGATTTTTAAGTATATTTGGAGTTGTTAACCATCACCATAACCATAATCTAATTTTAGAACATTTTCATCACCCAAAATCTTGTGACAATTGCCACCACCCCCTCCACCCCATTTCTCTCTAGATTTGCCTGTTCCATAAAAATGGAATCATATGTGATTGGCTTCTTTTACTTAGCATAATCTTTTCAAGGTTCATCCATGCTGTAGCATATATCAGTACTTCATTCTTTTTATGACTAAATAATATTCCATTGTAGGGAATTCTGTTTATCCATTCATACGTTGATTGACATTTGAGTTGTTTCTCCTTTGGCTATTCTGAATATTGCTGCTGTGAACACTGGTGCACAAGTTTTTATATATGGATATATGATTTCATTTCTCTTAGGTAGATATCTAGGAGTGGAATAAACTATGTTTAACCTTTTGAGGAACTGCCAGACTGTTTTCCAAAGTAGCTCAACATTTTATAATCCCACCAGCCATGTATGAAGGTTCCAGTGTCTCCACATCCTTGCCAACACATGTTGATGTCTGTCCTTTTTTTATTCTAGTTGTCCAAGCAGGTGTGGAGTGGTATCTCATTGTGGTGGTTTTGGGGGGTTTTTTTGGTGAGGAAGATTGGCCCTGAGCTAATATCTGTTGCTAATCGTTTTTTTTTTTTTTGCTTGAGGAAGATTGTCGCTGAGCTAACATCTATGCCAATCTTCCTCCATTTTGTACATGGGACGTTGCCACAGCATGGCTTGATGAGCGGTGTGTAGGTCTGCACCGAGGATCCAAACCCATGAACCCTGGGCTGCCAAAGCAGAGCATGCGAACTTAACCACTATGCCACCAGGCTGGTGTTATCATTGTGGTTTTGATTTACATTTCCCTAATGACTAATGAAATTGAGCAACAAGATAAAAAAATGTTTTATCATCTCTGGAAGGATACCCCAAACTAGTAACAGTGGTTGCCTGTGGGGAGAAGAAATGAGGCACTAGGATCCCAGTGGTAAAAAGGCTTCCTTTCCACCGCATAATCTTTTGTACTGTTTGGATTTTTTGGTCACGTGCATCTATTAACTTAAAAATAAAAAAGGCCAATCCTCTGGAGATGCATGGAAAGACATCGCAGTGCCCATGAACCCTTGGAATTCCTATATAGAATTGTATACGTACATATTTACAGCTTGCTGAGGAGAGAAGGCCCGTAGCTTTCATCAGATTCTCAAAGTGGTTCATCGATCTCGCCAGAAATATATGAAGCCCTACTCTGGTAACGCAAGTATGTCTGCATAACCAGTATCCTGTTGGCATCAGCCCTCTATTGCTCAAACAGCCCGGGAACAGCACCCTGCTCATGATTGTAAGGTGCTTACCACGTGCCAGGTCCTGTTTGGAGCACGTGACACACACTCTAGTTGAATCCTCACAGCCACCAGAGCTTAGACAGGGGTGTCAGTACAGCTCACGGTCCACCGGGGCTGGAGCCCATTTGGCTTTGTGACACATCAGCACACAGCCGACCTTGCTGTGGGGCTGTTGGATGCTTTCATCAGGCAGGATCTGCCCCTTGCCCTGACAACAAACCTACGAAACAGGTACTTTTTATTCTCCCCACTGTATAGATGAAGAAACAGAGGCTCAGAATAACTCCCTAACCTGGCCCAAGATCACACAGCTATTAACAGCCAACATTTACAGCCGGCACCCAACCTCGGAGCCACCCCACGACACCCCTCTCATGGATGCAGAGCACCTTCTCCAAACGAGTTCATCTGGACACGAATAATTACAAGATATTTGTTGACTTTACCAATGTATTTTTATTTTACAAAAAGAAAAAAGACAAAATCACTATAGTAGGATTATTTAAAACAGGACACACTGAATTTAAAATAGCATTTGTTTCACAAAAAGATTTGCAACATGACTCTTCAGAAATATAGCCACTGCATAAACATTAGGTACATGGCAGAAATATATGCTTAAATTAATTAATTATTTTATAAAACAGGACAAGTGCATTTTCAATGTACTTCTGTAGCCATGTCTTACCTGTTCTTCCCAACTGCCCAGGGAGGAAGAACGAACAGGTGTTACTAACAAAGAAACTGAGGTTCCAGAAATAAAATGATTGACTTCATTAGCAGCAGAGTCAGACATGAAACTCGTCCTCCTGATTCTTCATCCAGCCATAAATAACACACATTCGCAAAATAAAAACCCCAGGGGCCGGCCCCATGGCTTAGCAGTTAAGTGCTCATGCTCCGCTACTGGCAGCCCGGGTTCAGATCCCGGGCGCGCACTGAAGCACCGCTTCTCCGGCCATGCTGAGGCAGCGTCCCACATACAGCAACTAGGATGTGCAACTGTGACATACAACTATCTACTGGGGCTTTGGGGAGAAAAAGGGGAAAAAAAGGAGGAGGATTGGCAATAGATGTTAGCTCAGGGCCGGTCTTCCTCAGCAAAAAGAGGAGGATTGGCATGGATGTTAGCTCAGGGCTGATCTTCCTCAAAAAAATAAAAATAAAAATAAAAACCCCATTGAAAATATGAGCATTAGTGGGACGGGAGGATAAAGGTGCAGAGCGGGCATCAAATAAATATCTGTGGGTTGCAAGAGTTCCAGTAGAGAAAGCAGAAGACTTACAGAGCCCTTTGCCAGGTGTCTGGCGTTTGTAAGACCTGAGACCTTGAGAAAGTCAAGAACTGCACTGGGACACAAGCTGAAAATCTTTCAGGTCACAGATGTTTGCAGGCGGTTGTTGGCAAACATGACCCAGAGATCTCAATGTTGGAAAGTGCCATCAGCATTCAGAACGCTGTCAGTTGTCAAGGGGTGAGAGCTGGGTGACAGCATCTGCTGGGTGGTTACTGTCACACGCTCCCTGGAACCACAAAATCGCCCACACCCTGGGCTCATGTACCAGAATTTCCGCTTCAGTCTCCTGATACCCAGCTCTGACCGACAAATTCCAGAAAGGAAGAGGACTTCACGGATTTTTGTGTCTCCCACAGCTGACATCCCTTCTCCCCTACCTCACACTGGTAAAATGGAAGTTTCTCTCCCTCCCAGGAAAGCTGATGTTTGGTTTCTGTGTTTCCTGGGAGATCTTAATTCGCCTCATATCTTTTTCTTGATTTGACAGTCGTCTTTCCACTTTAGGACAAGTGTCCCCAGCTGTGTTCTGATCATCAGAGGCCAAAGAGCTCGACGCTGTCCAGTTGCTCCTCTTTGTAGAGCAGGATATTCTGCATCAGCTTCCTTTTGGCCTCATTGATCTCAATTTTCCACGAAGTCTCTGTAGCTGACGTTCAGCGGAAAGTAAAAAAATGCAACTTGAACAAAGGCATTTGGAAAGAGTTACTATTATTATAATCCCTAGAAAGTCAGACTTGGTCAGAGTTTCTCCCTTAAATTAGGTTTCTGAATCATGCCGAGTGTAATGAGCGTTTTCAGCGCTTCTGCCTTTGCAGGGACGCCCTGCCACCTGCCCCCACCTTTCAGAGAGGAGGGGGCTTCCATGCTCCTCCCCACGGGGGCTGAAGTGAGGTGGTTTAGAGTGAACACTTACACCCACTGTCTCTCTTTTTCCTCTCTCCTCCCCGTGGGAGGGGAGCAATAGGACTGGTACAGCCTGGGACATTCATTAAGCCACATTTACTAGGGGACAGGGACACTGCATTGAAAAGGCCTTCAGAATTTTTATTTCGGAAGGAAGCCTGGTATATTTGGACCCAAGAGGCAGAGATAGAAGGGATTTTTAGAAGCAACTGGCGAGGATGGGGTTCGTGTTGAGAAGCGAGGATGGAGAGGCGAGCAGGGGCAGAACACAGGCCTTGCTGATCCCGAGGAAGAGTTTTGACTTGATCTCTAAGTGCAGTGGGGAACCATATAAGGGCTTTAAACAAGGAGTGACATGAGTTGATTTTAAAAACCATTCTGGCTGGCCCCTGGAGAAAGGCCTGGAGAGAGGCCAGGGTGGCCCGGGAGGCTGTCATCCAGCAAGAGAAGAGAGTAGCTTATATGAGGGGGGCAATGCAGAGAAGCAGATGGAGCTGAGAGGTATTTAGGAGGTCACTGGATAGGACTGGGGGAGGGACTGGACATAGGAGGGCCAGGGGGAGAGGGAGGTATCAAGGACGACTCCCCCAGTTTCTCTGTGCAGTCGGCTGGTAGGTGAATGGCTGACTAACCAAGTGAACTTGTGAACGAGGGAGGTGGAAGGAGTAAACAATACGCTGAGTTAGGGACACACAAATGAGTGTGCATACGCACTCAAACCTCTGCACACTTACCATCCCCGGGAGGCTCCGGGCTGGCACAGGCCTCAGAGGAGGAGTTAGCCTCTATTTCCACACCAGCTGGAGGCCTGCCTTCTCCATCCTCTGTCGGGGGAGGCAAGGCAGCAGCCCCAGTCCAGGGTGCCGCCCCCATGGAGGAGGCGGCATCAAGGCTGGAATTGTCCACGTCATCCGTTTCTTCTGGGGTGTTGGAGGAAGAGCCTGTGCCCTCAGAAAGCCCACTCCAAGGGACCGAGGTCTCCTGACCTCTGAGCTGCTCCTCCACGGCGGCCACAGAGCCACACACCTTAGGGAGGAGACAGACAAGCACTCTTTCTGAAGTCAAGCATCTAACAGGCCTCCCAGGTCTCGGGAGAGAGAGACACTGGAAAACCAAATGTTTGTTGCTCTGTCCAGAAGAACAGCTTCCTTTCTTCGAAAAGAGCTGAACTTGCCCCCATCCAACCCAGCCACAGATGAGAGTACATGACAGAGATGGACCAGAGTATACCATTCCTCTGACCTTAATGATTGGTCCAGGTTTGGGCACATGACCCAAGCAGGCCCATCAGAATCCTTCTCTGGGATTTTTTTTCCATCTAAAGTTTACTGAGGAAAGACTCCCCTTTCCTTTCTAGCAGCAGAGCCAGACTCCCCACCAAACAAAGAAAACCCATTTACAGTAGGAGACAATGAAGCCCCCATGCAGAGTAAAGCAGAGGCAAGAGATGGAGACAGAGCCTCAGGCACAGAGACACACATAGTTGTACCTCTGCTGGTTGAGACCCTGGATCTAGCTACCCTAGCAATGCAGGTCCTGTCTACTGTTTGGTTCATTCATTCATTCACTCATTCATATTTTCCCTCCCTCCCTCCCCTCACCCCTCTTTCTTTGTGTGTGTGTGTCTAAGAGTTTGAGTTGAGTTTCTATCACTTTCAACTAGAAATGCCCTAAGTAATATAGATATTGCCCTTGGGGCTTTTCTGATTAGGAAGGTTAGGAAAATTAGAGAGGCAGGGAAGGAATGTTTCTTCTTTACACACACACTCCCTTAATAACAATAACAAATCTCATTTGCTCAGTGCCTTGCAATTTACAAAGCACATTTGACATGTGTTGCACCATGAGTATAGATAAAAAATTAAAAGACCAGAGAGGTTAAATTCCCTGCTGAAGGCCACCCAGCGAGTGAGAGGCAGAGCTGACCACTGAACCCAGGCCTGCCTCTCTTCAAGTCCATGACCCAGTTGATCTCTCATCTTCCTAGCTTAGTTGTGAAATACTGGGGGCAAGGACCATTTCTCATTCCTCTTTGTATACCTAAAGGGCCCTATCCCCTTTATCCTACATAGCAAATGCCTCCACATCCTTCAACGTCCAGTTCAAATGTCACCTCTTGAGATAAATCATCATAGTATATGCCCAGTAAATATTTGCCAAGCTAAAAACTACATTCCCTTATAGCTAGGTACAGCCATGTAACTAGGCTTTGGCCTATGGGGTGTGAGAAAAAGTGATGTGTCACAACTTTAAAAGGAAGGGGGTGTGTTCCCCTCTTCCTTTTAACCACCTTTCCGTGGCTGGAATGCAGATGTGATGGCCTGAGCTAGAGCAGCCATATTGGACTCTGAAATGGAAGCCACATGGTAAGGATAGGAGAGCAACAATATAGAAGGAACCCAGCGCCGAGGCCACATTAGCTCTGGACTGTCTATGTTCAAACTGTTAAGCTAAAGAGAATAAACTTCTATCTTTTTTAAACCACTGTATTTTGGAATCTCCTCATTTTAGTACCTTCTTTGAGTGTACTTGAACTGATACACTGAACAAATGAATGAAATAATGAAGGGATGAAAGCCTGAATGAAAGAATAAGTGGTTGAGAGAGAGAGATCTTTTTACAACATAAATATGATTATGTTCTGCCCCTGCCTAAAACCCCTAGTGACTTCCTCAAAATCTCGACTGTGCCTGCAAAGCCCTCTATTATTGGCCTCCTCCCTCAGCAGCCTCATCACCAGCCACGGTGCCCCACGTACTTTGTGTTCTTGCCACTTTGACCTTTTCCAGGCCCTTGACCCTGCCAGGCTCTCACTCAACTCAGGCCATTTGCACAAGCTGTTCCTTCTGCTTGGATTGCTCTTCCTCAGCTTACACATCACTTCCTCGGGGAAGTCCTCCTGGGTGGGGCCCCCGTCACACACTTTCCCCACGCTCACCACATAAACGATTACTGTGCAATGCCTCTGAGCTCCAGGAAAGCGGAACTGGACCTGCGCTGTTCACTGATCCATCTGCTGGGCCCAGCACACAGCTGCTGAATGCACGGCTGAACGCCGTGGCACTCTGGCACTTGGAGAACAGCCCCGGCTTAGAACAATGACCAGAGTCTCTAGCTCCTGCCACATCATAGTACCAGGGGCTGAACCAGGAGTCCGGAGAGCTCTGACAGAAACTCAGTCTGTGGCCTCATCTTCTCCTCTCTGGCCCTTTACTTCCCCATCTATAAAATGGGAGGCTTGGGCTACAGCAGTGATGTTCAAAGATTTTTTTCAGCTACCTAACCCTTTCCTCAAATAAAATACTGAGAACCCAATATAATCATGAGAAGTGAAAGTGGGTGTCTGGTTGCAGTCATGGGTAGGGCCTGCAGCTCCCCACAGCCCTCTAACTGCCAACGGCAACTCCTGAGGTACTCTCCAGGAGCACTTGAAAATCCCTCAGCTGAGTGATTTCTAAGAGCCCTCTCAGGCAGCTATTCTCTCCTTAGAAAGACCTAGTACCTGTTACCATGGAAACCACCTCTACACGTCCTGTCCATAGGAAAATGTTTTATCCCCTCTGACGGCTGATTTCCCGGGGGTCTGCCTAGCCCATGGGACCCGGCCCTTCCACCTTCCAGAGGTTGAGCCCCTGACCACTAGGTTTACATACCAGGGCCCCCCCCCACCTTACCTGACTGGCCAACAGGTGCACCTGATCCTAGCTAGGCCAATCAGGTTCTCTCACTGAGAGGTTGGAATTGGGCCTGGGAGACCCGGTCTCTCAGTGGGGCTAGGACTATGACATATAAATGAATATGGCCACATCCCCTAACCAAGAGGACTGAGGAAAAGAGAAAGGGGGCCTACAGAGACAAGAGGAGGAACACAGTGAGGCAGAGAAAGCCGAGCTCTGTTCACAGCCGAGGGTGTGGTCCTGGGCCCTCAGGCTCCTGCGACACCCTCATCCGCACACTTCCCTGTACGCGGATGTGAGCTCCAGTAGGTTCTGCTACTTGCAGCCCAATACAGCCCTTGTTTATGACATCATGTCTGGCAGACGGAGCCACCTCAAGCAGTGACCTAGTCTCGGGGAGCGCAGACCCACGCCCTGCCCCCCGGGAAGGGAGGCCCAGCTGACCCGGGGCAGGGCCCGTCGCGGGGGAAGGCCGAGTGGGGCTCACCTCCGCCAGGCTGGCGGTCCGCCTCCGCAGGCAGAGGCAGGCGGCCGTGGCCAGCGCCTCGGCGCAGTCCTGCGGCAGCCGCCCTGCTCTCCTCTCCAGGTACGTCTGGCAGAGCTCCTTGGCCATCGCCTTCTCCACGCCCGTCTTCCTGGAGCAGAGCGAGGTGCTGCTGCTTGGAATTTCACTGAGGAGTAAATCCTTCTGTGGGAAGAAGAGTGGAAACACCCTCGTGTGGGCTGAGGGGTGTGAGATCCAACCACGTGTGCCCCACCCACCGCCGAGACTGCGGGAGTTGCAAAACTTCTCAGAAAACCAAGAGGATTTTAAAAAATAAATGCAAGGATCCCAAACAAGTAAACGAGTCAAAAACTGGGGAACTGCTGATTCCCTGTACACACAGAACATTCCATAGTAGCTCATACCACAGACGCAGAGGCTTAATCTTTCTGGGCCTCAGCTGCCTCATCAGGAAAATGGGACAATAGGACCAACACAAAGATCAAATGATATAATGCATCCAAAGCATCAAGTGTGATACTTGACACAGAATAAACATTCAACAGTCTATTAGTGATAATAATAGTAATAATAGCTATCATTCATATAGTACTTACTACATGTGAGCACTTAGATTAATAATGTAATCTTACTTACAATTACAGGGACAATCTCTTGTGATATAAAACAAACATGTTAGGATGTAGGATTCTGACCCATGTATATTTAACAGGAGATCTACTATATAAATAATATTATATACATTTATATATTTTATAAATTTTCTATTTACATATTATATGTTTTATAACATTTTGTACTACATAGAGAGCAGGAATCTGAACTATGCAGATAACAGAAGATATTCTATATAAATAATAATAAATATTTCTATATAAATATAAAAACATTTATATAGTATAAATTATGTTACATAATATATTTCATATGTATATATTTACGTATTTGAAAATATATAAATGTTACAAATATATTACTTATATTGATTAAATGTATTAAATATATTATAAGAAAATTATATAATTATGTATATTGATATAATATATAATGCAATAATCTATTATATTAACATATGAAACATTTATATTTATGTTTTTATATCTATATTATATTTATTTGTATAAATAATATAACATTTATATATAAATTTTCCATGTATATTCTATTTATATATATATTTATATACATATATTGTAAACTTTAAATATGTTATATATGTATATATTTGTAATTATATTTCATAGAATATACAGTATTTTATATAGTCACTCATGTATATATAAAATATTTATGTACAAATATTTCGATGCACTTTATATGTTATACACTATATGCTATATGCATTATATATACTGTATAATATTTCATACTACATAAAATGCAAAAATTGATGAATATCCATGCTATAAATATAAAATATAAATATATAAATAAATAACCTACATGTATATATACATATACAACATAAGACCAGAGGGCAGGTGGCAAAATATTTACAGTGGTTATCTCCAAGAATGATTTCTATTTTTTTTAAACTTTCCTATATTTACCAAATGTTCTACAAGCCCATTTTGCTTTTATAATTAGAAAAATAAAAGTTAAAAGTTTTTTGTATGTGTTTGTTTTCAACGTTAAGAGTTCCTAAAGTCCTATAATATTTCCCATCTGTTAACTACAGCCTTTGGAAACCCCAGATTTTGCGACACCCTGGTACCTGCCAACCTATCCCATATCTCCTCTCCTCCCACTCTCCCTCCACTCACTGTACTCAGCCACTCTGGCTTCTTTCTGTTTTTGGAAGCCTCTAAGCGCGTCCTGCCTCAGGGCCTTTGCACTTGCTGTTCCCTCTACGTAGAATGCACCTCCCTCAAGTTTTACCATGTCCTGGTCCCTCATCTCATTTGGGTCTCTGCTCAGATGTCACCTTCTCTGGGAAGCCTTCTCTGACCTAAAATAGTCCTCCCCCTACTCCTTCACCCTATCCCCTAAGCTTACTTCACATTTCTTCATAGCACATACCACTGGCCTGGAATAGTACATATTTTCACTTGCTTGACTATCATTTGTTCTCCCCCACTAGAATGAAAGCCCATGAGGGGAGAAACTTTATCTTGTTCACTCTGTATCCTCAGCACCAAGAACAGAGGCACACAGTAAGTGCCTCATAATGTTGCATAAATCGTACATACTAACTTATTTTTTGGCTGTTTCATCTTTTCTTTTTTATGTAATTTTATTATTTTTAATAGAAGTGATACATTAAATGTAAAACTAAGTTAATTTTTATTGCTTTATACAGCTTTTCATACAAATACATTTACAATTCAGAAAAAATGATTATCAGAGATTATCAGACATGGGTTGTGATATTTACTTCAAAAACAAAACAAAACAGCCCCCATCTGCCTCAGTTTCCTCATCCAGAAAATGGGTTGCCTGAGGATCCAATAATACCTAAATGCCTGACACCATCAGGAATTCAATACCTGGAGACTAAAAGCCTCTTGCAGGCAAGGACTGCATTTTTGAATACCCTTTTGCACAATTCTCTCATGGGAGTTCTGCCTTTTGAACGTTTATCTTTTTAAAAAGTGTAATGGTGTTTAAAGTTGATAAATGAATAAATAACAGTAGAAGCATATTATTTGCAGATATGGAGGCCACCACCATCTGAAACAGATTTAGAAGCTGTTCAAAGTGATTGCCCTGACAGAACGGCAGCAGCAGCAGCTCACCATCTGACTACCCTCAGGGAAGCCACCCGTCTCATCCAGAACCCGGGCGTCTAGAGATGCTGACCACACTGGGTGGCGGGCTTCCGGGAAACTCAGTGAGGGAGGGAATCAGCCACTCCACCCGAGTCCTCTGGTACCCCTTCGAGCCGAAAGGACGGCCTGCTATGCACCTCACACGGCGGCGCGATGGGGACACGGCGCCATGCAGGAGCAGCCCTGACCACGAATCTAATCCAGTCGCAGGAGCTAACTACCCGCGTACAGGAGACTCGAGGCCCAGAGAGACAAGGGTACCACAGGGACGCAATCAGCAGCAGCCAGAACCTGAAGGAGTCTATAGGACAGATGACACACTTGACACAAAAATGCAACACACAGAAAGAAAAAGGGGGGAGGGGTACAGCTAAGGATAAACGAGTCTTGAGAAACAAAACCAAAGGCAACACGTGGACCTTGTTTGGATCAGTTTCAAATAAAACAACTCTAAAAAGCAATTTTTGAGACAATTTGGGGAATCTATGGAATGGGTATTAAATGATATTAAGGAATTAAGAAAACTATATTTTACGGGTGAAATAATATAATATCTGGGATGTGCTTTAGAATACAAACACAAAAAAAGTTTTTTGGATGCAAAAGAAATAAGACAAGCATGATGCTGGTAATTGATGGGATGGATAAACGGCAATTCCTTATATTCTTCTCTTTACTTCTGTGTATGTTTGAAATTGTCCATAACAAAAAGGGCTTTTGAGAAGTGGCCATTCCTGAGAGCAGGACGGGGACGGGGAGGAGAGGGGTATGGAGCCGCTGCCCTGGGCTGCTAGGTTTTCTAAGCCAAGCATGTGGATTACTTGAATTTAAAATGTTAAACAGAAATTATTATTACAAAAATTTTTTGTTAAAAATTAAAATAGAAGTGGTTTAAACACAGACAGATAGAACTGTTTGGTGGTTACCAGGGGCTAGGGGGTGGGGGGTGGGCACAAGGGGTGGAGGGATGCACTTATATGGTGACTGATAAACAATAATGTACAACAAAAATTTCACAATTAAAAAGAATTGAAAAAGGAAAGAATTAGAGATAATAAAAAAAATTAAAATAGAAGTGGTTTAAATTTTATGGCAAAAGTTAACCTTTCCCCTCATTTGAACTCTCCAAAGATAACCCCTGCTAATAGTTTGGATTATATTATTCTAGACTTTCTGCTACAAAAGTTGACAGCTACAGTCATTTAAGTTGCATATAATAATTATAATAATAGCAAGCAGACTCCTAAGAGATATTAAAATAACAGAAATAATAATAATAATACTACCACATATAGTGCTTATTATGTTCTAGTCACTATTTTAGGAACTTCACATATTATTAACTCTCACTAAACCCTATCAGGTGGGTACTATTATTAGCCCTGATTTCCTATCCCCAAATAGGAAAATATAAGATACAATTTTTTTATTCATTCATCTATTTATCACCAAAGATGAGATTATACTATACACTATTCTGAACTTACTTTCTCACTTGGAGATACTTCCCTGTCAAAATATATGTCTTTCTCATTTTTTTTATAAGAACGTCTATGTCAGCTTTACTCAGAATGGCCAAAACCTGGAAACAACACAAATGTCTGGTGAATGGATAAGCAAATGGTCAGACATCCATACAATGGAACACTCCTCAACCACAAAAGCAATGAACCACTCCCACGTGCAACAACACAGATGAATCTCAAAGGCACCTCGCTAAGTAAAAGAAGCCCGAAACAAGCAGGGACACGCTCTATGATGCCATTTATACGACACTCCAGCAAAGACGGAACTATATGGACAGACATTGGACCAGTGGTTGCCAGGGGCTGGAAGTGGAGTGACAGGATTGACTATAAAGGGGTCTGACAGAATTTTCTGGAATGATGGAAATATTCCATATCTTGATTGCAGTGGTGGTTACATGACTGTTTACATTTGCCAAAACTCACACCATTTTGTACACCTCAAAAGTGTGAATGACACCTATGACCCCACGGAGACCCACACACTAGGAAAGGTACCTAGTAGCTTTATTTGTAAGGGTCAAAAGCTGGAAACTCCCCAGATGTCCATCAATTTGGTGAATGGACAAACGGTGGCATACCCATGCAATGGACACTACTCAGTGACAAAAGAAATGAACCACCGACACACACAGACCATGGCTGTATCTCAGAATAGCTACGCCGGGTGGAAAAAGCCAGACAGCAAGAGAGCACACTCTCTATGGCTTCATTTACATGCAACTCCAGAAAACAGAAACTTTTGTACAGCGCTGGAAAGCTGACCAATGGCTACGGGGGTGGCAGGGGCAGGGAGGGGTGTGAGGGCGGGATTACAAAGGAGAAGAGGTACTTCTGGGGCAGCAGGCATGTTCATTATCTTGATTTGGTGACAATTTCACAGGTATACATGTATGTCAAGACTTATCATAGTATACACTTCATCCTCATTATTTATAAATACTCATAAACTTATATTCACAGTTATTTATAAATAACTTCATGGTATTCCACAGTGTGTATGATTATGTCATATTTCTTTAACCACCTCCCCGTTGACAGATATTTCACTTGTTTACAGCACTGCACTATCACGAATAACGTTACCACGCACATCGTTGTCCATCTCTCCTTCCTCACTTGTGTGCGTGTTTCCCTAGCATACAAATGGAATTGCTGCATCAGACGGTACACACATTTTAAATTTTGGTGGAAACCACCAATGACCTCCAAAAACACTGCAGCCATGAACACTGCCCCAAGCATGGATGAGAGGCCTGCCTCCTCCCACCCTGAGGTACCAGAAGCTTCCATCTTGGACTTGAATCTTAATTACACGCACAATTTTAATTTAAACAGAAGATGGTGAGAGATCATATTTGGGTCTAGAAGAAGAGAAAAAAACTAGATTTTTAAAAAACCATATCTTCCACAATTTCAGAAACCATTAACAAAAAAAACTAGAAAATTTCACACAAGTATCTCAAAAGGCTTCTTCTCCTGTGACATTTACCCAGGGAGCCCCAGTGGACTGCTGAGGACTGCATCTTGAGAAAACTGTCAGAATATGTGCAACTGCCCCAAACCACATCCGAGCTGCCCAAACCAACCTCTGAGCAGTATCTGGGGCCCAGTACTCAAAAGGGGCAGAGCTCAGGGAGTTCAGCAAAGGGACAAGTTGTGACTTTCTCTGTACAGTGGAGGCCTTTAGTTCCCCACCCCAGGGCCCAGGGGATGCTTTTGGGGCCCTGTCACAAAAAAGCCAGCTGCTCCCATGGCCTCAACTTCAAGTCAGAAAAGGTACCCCCTCTCAAACTGATGAAAAGGACTGAGCTTGCACAGGATTTGGAAGACAGGAGTTCAAATCCCAGGCCCACCATTGACCTCACTGCGGGGCATGAAACAAGTCTCTTCACTTTGGCCTTAGTTTTCTCATCTGTAAAATGGGGATGATAATAACCCTGAATTCACATGTTTGGACTGTCACGAGAAACACTCAGGAAGGAGTGTTAGAGTTAAGAACTCAGGATCGGCAGTCTGGCGACCTGACTCAGAATTTCTAGCTCTGACACTTAGTAAAGCTGAGATCTCAGGCAAACCTCAGAGCCAGGTTCCCTCATCTGCAGATGGACATAATGACCCTATCAATCTCATGGCAATTTGGAGATGTTTTAGAAAGATAACATACATAAAGTGCTGAACACAGAGTCGGGCTGTGTTGTCATATTTTTGAAGTGACACTATACACACATATATATATGAATGATAGTTCTTTGAACCTACTACATGGAAATTACTGTTTTTATTATAGAAACCTGCTTAAAAGGGCTGACATTAACTTTTACCAATTTGACGACATGAAGATATGCAGAGAGAAGAAATGGGTTTCCCCTAAACATTCTAAATTCTGTTACCATGGAAAACTAATTGTTGGCTGGTTGGTGAGGAGGGGAGGTGGAAGCTACCTCGCACAGATGTAAATCAAACCCTAGGCGGAGCCCTTGTTAGCAACTGTCAAATAGGTACAGTGGTGGTCCCTGCCCTCCCGCCCCCCGCCCCCCGCAGCTGTGACCCAGGAGTGACTTGTCCCCTTACCAGGTAAACCGGGCTTCGGTCGTTATCCATCGCGGGGATGCCAGTGAGGACCTCAGCCAACACCTGGAGAGAGCACGGAGTTAGCACGGTTCAGACATGCATGTACAAGGTCAGGCAGGGGATTCTGGCCAAGAGAGAAGCTTCTTCTCAGTAACAAAGTCTGAGCTCCAGGCCTGGCTCTGCCATTTGCCAGCACGGACAATTGTCCAAAATCTGGACCGTGGGAATATCACTAAACACCTCTTCCAACTGAACACACCACCCCACTGCTAGTAGAAGGTGTGAATTAATTGATAGCAAAGCAGGGAGGATAGAAACAAATGTGTGTGTCTCACCACACATATATGTATACACACACACACATCTCTCTATATACGCGCACACACACACACACACATATGTGATCTTTGGGCAAGTAACTAAAATCTGAGCCTGTATCCTTCACTGGTAAATGGTGAATATAAAGGAGTACCCTAGCCTTAGTGTCAAATCTGTCTTCCACAACCTGTCTCGCAGCAAGTCAGAATAGGGTCATATTTACTGCCAAGAAATCCTCCACCCCAAGAGGAAGGGCCTGCAGGGTTAATAACGGACTGGCAGTGGCCAGGAGGGGGCAGCAGAGGGCCCCCCTGCAGCAAGTGGACGGGAGCAACTCAAAGGGGACTCCAGGACCAGCTCTTGCCAGGAAGGGAGCGAAGAACCAGGGGAAATGAATAAACAAACATTTCCTCTGTCCCTTCCACGTGGCAGGCTCTGTGGTGGGCCTTTTACAGGGGTCATGTCGTGCTCACCGAGAAACACCGTATTCCCCACAGGAGGAACTAACATTCAGAATCATACTGTCAGTCAGCGGCAGGGCTGAGAAAAAGAGTGAAGGGAGCCAGTGGGCACTCAATGAATGAATGAATGAATAAGGAAGTCAATTGTTACATCAAGAGCTGAGTTACAAAGTCAAGAGTAAACAGAAATCAGGAGTGAGGGTGTGAAGACAGAAATAACCACAATAATCATCATCATCTGGATATGTGCAGGGTACTATGCTAAAGAGTTTATAGACGTCTCATTAATCTCCATATGTATCATTCCCCCATTTTACAGAGGACGAAACTGAGGCCCAGAGTTTCAGGTGATGTACCCTAGGTCACAGAGCTGAAAGTAACTGAGCTGGGACTCTAACCCATGCTCTTAAGCTCTACACTATAACGCCTGGCAGCCTCAGGGCTCAGTCCCACTGGTTCTTAAAGGAGCAGGAGCCTGGGCTGCTGAGCATCACTGAGCCACTCACAGTGGGGCTGATGGGGGCAGGGAAACCAGAGGAATCGATGGGCTGGGAGACAGGGGAAGCAGAATCTGGCATGTGGAGGTTGGGCTGAGGGCAGAAGATGGCTCAGGGCGAGGGCACTACTGGGAGAGGTAGCCAAACAGGAGACTGTGGTCAGAGAGAGGAAGTGCAGAGTTCGAGGCTGGAGAGGAAGAGAGAAAGCAAGGTCCAAGATGCAGCTGTTTGCTCTTGGCAGAGGTCAACCAGAGACTGTCACTTTTCTCAGCCAGCATTTCCCAGACTGGGTTCCATGGGACACTGATGCTGAATGATACTGAGAAAACCAGGTTCCATAGTCAAATTAATTTGGGTAACGCTGCATCCCCTTTGCCTGGCTGTGGTGAATTCACAATTACCAGATTAAAGGCTCATTACCGGGGCCGGCCCCGTGGCTTAGCGGTTAAGTGCGCACGCTCTGCTACTGGTGGCCCAGGTTCGGATCCTGGGCGCGCACGGACGCACCGCTTCTCCGGCCATGCTGAGGCCGCGTCCCACATACAGCAACTAGAAGGATGTCCAACTATGACATACAACTATCTACTGGGGCTTTGGGGGGAAAAAAAAAAAAGGAGGAGGATTGGCAATAGATGTTAGCTCAGAGCCAGTCTTCCTCAGCAAAAAGAGGAGGATTAGCACGGATGTCAGCTCAGGGCTGATCTTCCTCACAAAAAAGTAAAATTTTAAAGGCTCATTACCATATTAAAGGCTCTGATTAATTTTGTGGTAAAGAAATCTGCTTGGGGCTGGCATGGCTTAGCGGTTAAGTGCACATGCTCTACTACTGGCGGCCCGGGTTCGGATCCGGGCGCGCACCGACACACCGCTTGTCCGGCCATGCTGAGGCAGCGTCCCACATACAGCAACTAGCAGGATGTGCAACTACGACATACAACTATCTACTGGGGCTTTGGGGAGAAAAAGGGAAAAAAAAAAAGAGGAAGATTGGCAATAGATGTTAGCTCAGGGCCGGTCTTCCTCAGCAAAAAGAAAAAAAAAAAAAGAAATCTGCTTGACTTCGCTTAACCCAGCATTTCTCAAACCTACTTGGTCATAAAACCCTTTCAACACATCAAACCTATAGAGATCTCAAGGAATTGGTGTTCTATAGAAATAGACTCTGGAGACAGCTACACTCAGACCACGAGCTCCTGGAGGAAGGACTGTGTTTAGTTACATTTATACTCCAAGTGCCTGGTACACAGTAATGATAGACAGGGATGGTGGCGGCGGCAAGGAGGGACATTGGATGGGTAGATGGATACAGAATGGATGGGAGGTTGTTGGATGGGTGGATGGATATCAGATGAATGGTTGGATGGATGATTGGACAGATGGATGAACAAACAAGGACAAACAACTGGATGGATCATTAGATGGCTGGCTGGATGGGAACCAGGGAGGTCAGGAGATGATATCTGTAGCCTACTAGAATCTGGACTCTCACAAGTGGCTTTACTTCAAGGGTTGGCAAAATTTTTCTGTAACAGGCTAGGTAGTAAATATTTTAGGCTTTGTGGGCCACAAACCAAGTCTCTGTCACAAATTCTTTTTTTTTATATTATTATTGTCCAATATTTTATAAATGTAAAAACTATTCTTAGTTGTAGGCCATATAAAATAGGCCATGGGCCAGTTTTAGCCTGTGGGCCACAGTCTGCCAACCCCTACTATACTTTGATGGAACACATCTATGACCCTCTATTATATCCTGTGCTTAAAAGGAGCCAGGGGAAGGACAAATGAGTGCAGGCCCACGTCCAAGCAGACTGGGAAGCTCTTACTATTCCACAGCTGAAGATGTCCACTCGCTTTGTCAGCTGCCCCACCCTGATGAAATCTTCTGGCAGATATGCAGCTGAGGCCTGGAAAAGGTGGGTCCTCATCACAGTGTACCTTGACCTTTCGTTGGCAGGACACAGGTGAGCCATTGGATGCGCCAGCTTAGGGGTGAAGTTTTGGTCTAGCAAAACATTGGAGCTGTGGGAAAGAAAGCAGAGAGAACCCTCTCATTCTGAGCTGGACAGGAAGAGGTTGCCATGGAGACCCTTCTGGAAAACAAGTTAGCACTGAGCAGTGTCAGCCCCTGCAAGTCAGGGTCACTGAAGACCCTCAACACAGAGTTTCTGAGCCAGTCCTGATAGAGGAAGGGAGGGTATTAGGAGCCCACCCCCACCAGCAAATGAGGATGAAGCTAAGATTAGTCCTGCTGCCCAGGAATGGCATTTGGTGTGGCAAAGAGGTGCACCCATCCTGATCCCACAGATGTCAACCCTGATCAACCTCGGCTTGCCAAGCCCATAGGTTGTGTCAGCTCAGTCCCTTCCAAAGCTGTTCTGACCCTCGAGCTCTGGCCCGGCTCACTCAAGTCTAAATGCCAGCATCCTTTGTTACTGAACCTGCCCAGCTCATGTGGAAGAAGAGCAATTAATATATTCTTGGACCCAGTTATCTAAACCGTGGGAGTGAACATTCTCAGAAAGCACTCTGAAGGGGGAAAAAAAAAAAAACTAAGCTACATTTGCAAAAATATTCAAACTAACCTTAAGTAGTCTTTTTAAAAACTAGACACCAACTGCATATCCACTATAAGGAGCAGTTAAGTAAATTAAGGGCAAATCCCTTCAACGGAAGACTAAGAAGTCACTGAAAATGATGACATATAACATGGGGACATGTTTACCATGTTTAAATGAAGGAGAAAAAAGAGACTATGAGTTGGTTACCAGGTAACCATGCTACCTTGGGGCCAAGACTTCTGTGTGTGCACCAGCTGAAAAAAGAAACAGAAAAGTGGAGGCCAGCTGATGACTCAGACTGGGCAGTAGGGTCACGACGACCTCTCACCCTTTCATTTTCTTTCTTACTATTACAACTGTTTGCGCGATCAAATAATAATGAGGGGAGAGTAAAGAGGAAAGGGCTCCACTTCCTAAATGGAAAGAGAGGGAGAACTTTGGGGAAATGTGAGTTTTATGGTTTCGAGGTCAGTTTTGCCAGATTTTCTGGTATCTTCCAGAATCTCTCTCCATGCTGCCAGTCCCCAGACAGGGATCTCTTGCTCTTGAGAGCATGTACTGAGATGCTGGGGTGCACGCCTAACCTGCAGGGAGCCGCCCTGACACGAGCTGCTTTCACCAACAGATACACAGCAGGGGGCAGGTCCCCGAGAAGATCTGAGCAAGGAGCTCAAAATCCCAGGGGGCTTGGCAGACATGGCCCAAAGCTCAAGGAACGGGTCCAGACCAGCTGCTGAGTGGGAAGTGAAATCCATCAGGGGCATGGAGAGCTTGCTGGGAAAACCCCAGCTCAGAAAGACGAGCATGGTGACAAGCAGGCAGTTCATGCTGACAGCAAGCAGAGACACAACCCAAAAACACTGATTTTTTGAGGGTATAACAAAGAAAGAAAGAAGAGACCCAAGGGAGGCAAGGTGGGGAGAGACAGGCAAAGAGAAGAGAGACAGAGGGAGAGGGAGGGGACCCAGGAAGGTGTGCTGTCTCATCCTGCAGCCCGGGCCCCCACGGGGTCCAGTCCACCTCTCTCACCTCTTGATGTTGCTGTGGATGATCTCCAGGCCGTGCAGGTGCTCCACAGCACGAAGCAGCCCTGAGCAGATGCTGACGCGCTGGGGCCAGAGGAGGGGGTCCGAGCCACCCTGAGAGAAAGGAAAGGGGGAGGTGAAACAGTCCTACCTGTGCCTTTTTACAGTCCCAATGGCAGAGTCCCGGGCTCCTGTCTCTCCTCCAGCCCTCCACGTCCTCGGCGACAGGGCTTGGCCAGCATGGTTTACTGGCAGGGCACCAGTTTTGACACCAGACAGATTCAGGTGTAAATCCCAGCTCAGACACACACTAGCTGTGTGACTTTAGAAAAGACCCTCAATATCTCTGAGCCTTGGTTTCTTCAGATACAAAATGGAAACGTTAATCCCTATGCTTTAGGGTTGCCGTAAGGATTCAAAGGAGTGTATGGTGTGCCCGCAGCCTAGTGCCTGCCACACAGCGGGTGCTCACTAAGCAGCAGCTATTTTCGTCTCACGACTACTACACCGCAGCCCTGGAATTTATCTCCAGGAGGGGCTGGCTGGGAGAGGAGCTAGGGAGCTTGTGTTGGCACACCAAGCACATGGGCCTTAGGCCGATTTTAAGTGTATTTGGGGAGACTTCACAAGGGCTGATGGGGATTGTTGGGTGGGCTAAGGCCCCCCACCTTCCCCACATGCTGCCAATGTTGTTCTAAGGCTGAATCTCCAGGCTACATCACCACTTATTCTTCAAGTCCTGTCCTAGGTCCCACATCCTCTAAGAACTGGCCTATACTAATAGATTTCTTCTCAAAAATTCTGAAATCTGGAACCACATGAACTCAGTTTAAACCCTAGCCCTGACACTTGTCAGCTGTGTTCCTTTGGGCAAGACACTTTGCCTCTCTGTGCCAGAGACTCCTCTTTTGGAAAATAGACAAAACCTCTTGGGTTGTGGCAAGGCCTGAAGGAGATGTGTGTAAAGCCCTTATCACAGCATCTCGCACACAGTGAGAGCTCAGCAAAGCCAACAATCGTGATTATACCCTGAATAACTGCTTTGCCTGGGCCCTGCCAAGGGAAGCAATAATTCTGTTGTGGAAGAACTTTTTTCCGTCTGTTGGAGGATTTTACGGGAAAGAGGGTTGTTTTAAAAATTGTAATCTTAATAGGTATTACACTCACATGGTATAATATACAAGAGGTACAAAAGGGTGTGTATGAAAAGGTTCCCTCCTGTCCTGTGCCCAGCTACCTGCTTCTCCCCAGGGGCAGCCAAGGCACCAGTTTCTTGTATCTTTCCAGAGATATTCCATGAATACATAAGCAAATGGGTATACATTAGAACAGCATTTTTTAACAAAAATTTGCCTCTACTTTTCCATACTCTGTATCTCTCAGTTCTTTTTCTTGTCCTATTGCATTGGCTGGCACCGCCAGAATGATGTTGAATAAAATTAGTGCTATGGGATACCATTTCCTTGCTCTTGACTTAAATGAAATGCCTCCTGTCAAATAATTTTTTTTCATAGATTTTTACCCGAAGATGTTTAGCCAGATCTTATCTATCCCAGCCTCACTTCTCTCCTTGAAGGGCCTCTCTGGATGACTTCTCTCCCCTCTGGACTCCTGTAAGTCCTTGATCTTTGACTCACTAACTGGGTGCTGCCTGATCCTGTTCTCTGACCGTGACCCAGCCCCTTACCTGACACTGGAGTCTGTCCTGTAAAGAACCGTTTGCCATGTAGGGGTAGATCAAGCTGTAAAACTGTTCTCCAGTGCAGAAGCCCAGCAGAGGTAAGACGTTGGGGTGGCAGCATCTGAAAACAGGCATCAGCGCAGGGGTGAGGAGTCAGACATAAAGAATAATCACAGACTGCTCCATCTCCTCACCTCCCACCTCTCTTCTGCCCTCGCAACCTCCCTGAGGGCCCAGCACCAGGGTAGCAGGATGAAAACTGCCTGCCTTCAAGGAGCTTGAAGTCAAGGGGCTCCCAGCTATCCTGCCCACGGCTCTGCAGTATATGACACCTTAACCATCCCATCTTCCAGAAACAGAAGTTTAGAGGTCAAGGAACTTGCCCAAGGTCACAACTAGCAAGCAGTGAAGCCAGGATCAGACCACAGGTCTGTTTGACTCCTAGGACTAGGGTGCTTTCCCAAAATCCTCTTCCGCTGGGCTCTAAGTTTCTGTTCCCTCCTCCTTCCTCTCTGGCCACTCTTTCTTGGCCTTTTTCACTAAGACCCTCCTCCTCTGCCTTTCTCTGAAACCTGAGTCTCCTTGGCTAGGCTCATCATCTTGTTTTATAAGCCGCTCCTCCAGGTATCTCCCACCTCCATGAGGAACCCTCCAAAATCTCTCACCTCCAGCCCCATCCTAAGCTCCAGACCTGAATGCCGAATTGCATCCCGATGCTCCAGGTGAACAGCCTAGACTCAGCAAGTCCCAAACCTACTTCTCCACCCACAGTTATTATCTCAGCAAAGGGCACCACCATCCATCCAGCCTCCTAGAAACCTCCTTACCTCCCTTATCTAACTAGTCACCATTCACTGTCATAAATAGCTTTCCAATGTCCCCTTCAATCCCCACTCCTCTGCTTTGGGTCAGATCCTGATGAATTCTGCCCAGGACTATGTAATGGCCTCCTGCCTGATCCCTCTGCCCTCCCGTACTCCCCTCAGGCCATCCTACTTCAGACTTTTCACACTCATTAGAGTTGCTTACACTTCACTGTCCCCACTGTGTACTCCTCACGCCCGCACTCCCTAGAGCCAAGAACGGCCTTGACAACTTGCATTTGCCAAATCAGTGAATGAAGGAATGACTGCCGACTCCAGGAAGGCACTATGCCAAGGTGGAAGGGGATTAGACTTCCAGTTTCCATTAAATGTGTGTGTATGTGTATATGTGTGTATGTGTGTGTATTCATACAAGTGTATGAATAGAGAAAGGATTAAAGGATGGAAATCAAAATATTAATACGGTAGTAGTTAATTATAGGTGCTATGGAAAAATAGGTGGTTTCTATTTTCTTATTTATAATTTTCTTTATTTCTTAAAATACTCTACAATTATCATGCATTACTTGGCTGCTCATTGGCAGAGGAACTCAGACAGGGACTTGCTAAGGTTGAATGACAGCTGATGTCCAGCCCACGACAGGTGCCCCATACATCTTGGTTGAACTCATCAGTCAATGATGGCAGAGCCAGGACAAGTCCCCAGGTCTCCAGACAGTCCTCCCTTTCTCCTTCCCAGTCCCCACCCAGCTCTGTGACAGGGCTCACTTCACTTCTCCAGCCTCAGTTTCCTCATCTGTAAAATGAGCAGGTTTGAAGATGACTTTAGAAGGCGCTTATTGCTCAAGACCAGAGGTCAGCAAAATTTCTCTGTAAAGACCTAGACAGTAAATATTCTAGACTTTGTGGACCATATGGTCTCTGCTGCAATTACTCAATTGTGCACTATCACACAAAGGCAGCCATAGACGAGACAGAAATAAATGAGCGTGGCTGTGTTCCAATCAAATTTAATTATAGACAGTGAAATTTGAATTTCATGAACTTTTCATGTGTCATGAAATAGTCTTCTTCTTTTTATTTTTTTCAATCCTTTAAAAATGTAAAAATCATTCTTAGCTCTCAGGCCGTACAAACACAGGCGGGGCCACAGTTAGCCTGTGGGTCATTTGCCCACTCCTGCTCTAGAGCACTATGATTTTAAGATGGATTTGCCCCTGGAGTTGGAATCATTAAGTCTCTGCCCATCTCAAAAAATGGGATAGAAACAGATTTCTTCCTCCCCGGCAGGAAGGAGTTGGGCCAAGTGAGCCAACGTTCTCTTATAATTCTAATCTATGAATATAGTTGCTACGTAGAAAAAGCATGGATATGGAGCCAGATCAACCTAGATTCAAATTCCAGCTCTGCCCCTTACTAGCTGTGTGATCTTGGACAAGACACTTAACCTCTCTGTGCTTCAATTTGCCCATGTGTAAAATAATGTGATAATAGCAGCTACGTTACAGAATTCTTGTGAGGAGTAAATGAGTTTGTACATACAGAGTGCTTAAAACATGCCTGCCACAGAAGCAGCACTATATAAGGGTGAGCCGTCATCATTATGAAACAACGTATTTTCCAAAGGAGAGGCTTACCTATGAGAGATTTGTACCTCTGCCTGGAAAAATTTTTTGATTGATCCTAGACCTGAGCAGGCCATCTGTGGGAAAAGACATTGAAACATGAAAATCTAGCCTCACTCCTGCAGCCGCCACCCTTACTAGAAACCAAGAAGTGCTCACCTCTCTGAGCTTCTTGAAGACGAAGGGCTCGCCATGCCTTTGCCCTCTGTAGATGTCAGCAAAGGTCCCCTCGCTGATTTTGTGGTTTTGGTTGAAGTTGTCAGTTGCTTGGACCACGTCCACCTCGCTCCAGAAAAGGCTGTCTCCGGCCAGGCTCAAAAGAGTTTCCTGCTTAGGAATGGAGGTGCTGACATCCTAGGAATTCAGAGAGAAGAGACAGAGATCAATATGGAATTAATATGGAAAATATTATTTTCCCTACCACTTCAGGGTATCTTAGAACACCAGAGCTGAGGGGTGGAGGGGATCATCTTATGCAGTGAGGAGGAATGGTAAAAACGACATGAACAGGGCCAGCTCAAATCCCAGCCCTGCCTCAAACTTGCTCTGTGACCTAGGACAAGTTACTTAACCTCTCTGAGCCTTAATTTCTTCTTCAGCAAAAATGAAGCTAACAATAGTACTCCAAAGAGTGATTTTGAAGATTAACTAAAATGTGAGTATTCCCGGCACATGGTTGATGTTTCCTTTTTTCACCCGTTTATAAAGGTGAGCACCAAGGGGGTCAAAGAGCTGAGGTAAGGTCACACGGCTGGGCAATGGCCAAGCTGGTGCCCCTGGTCCTATACGTGGTGTACACGCTGGGAAGCGGGGCACAGGTTCACATAAGCAAACACGATTCTGTCATCAGAGCTTCGGAAACTGCTTACAAGCGTGAGCCCATAAAAAGCAGGTCTGCTCCAATAACTTCCCTTCTTAAGAACAGCTGTACATAAACCTACACCTGTTTAAATCGCACATGTTCTTAGAAACAGTGTTAGAAAGTTAGATGAGGAAATCATCCATAATCCCATTATCCACTCAACTGCTGTTCCAGTTTACTGTGTTCCTTGCCAATTAGATACATAAGGATTATTTAACAAATTGGAATCATGCCACACACATAGTTTTGATTTCTGGTATTTTCACTTAACATTAAACCATGATCATTCTCCTGTTATTAAATCATTTTTGAAAATGATTAATTTTCAAAGAAAATTAAAACCCTGCTTAAGTGGCAGTCTCCTTTCTGGGAGAGCTCCATTACGCAGACCCACAGAGAGCTGGCTTCCTCACCAGGCACCCGCCCACGACACCTTTAGGGGCCCTTGAAAACGTTTCAATTTCTTTTAAAATCAGAAGAACAAAAATAAACTTTTAGAGTCAAATAAAATGTTTCACTTTTTAATCCAGCTTAGATTATGTTCCTCTTTCTATTAATGCAATCGTAAGACATAATTAAAAAAAATTTTTTTTTAATGAAGGAAAGGGCTCATGAAGACAGAACTGCTGAAAACCCACAGAAGTCACATGCGGCCCTGGACCCAAGTGATTGAAAATTCAGGATAACTCAGACATATTTCAGGTTGAAAAAAGGTTGGAAGGGAGGCAGTTTGTAAGCAAATGACTACTGCAAGCAATATATTTTTGGGGGGAGGAAGATAGATGCCAATGATCAGCTCCTGTTTAAATACAAATAATGGAAAAGCTCATTAAAAACAATATTCACTAAAGTGCACCCTCTCCTGGCCCCCCGCCCCAGGTTTACTGACTCCAACACTTACAGTCTTAGAAGCTCAGAGCAATTCGATGTCTCCTCTCTCCCCTCACCCCAACCCCAAACCCCTCAACTGGTCTCGGAGAATAAACACATGGCATTTTTGAGGGAAAGCCACAAGTTGGGGGAGATTGCTTGGTGGGAGGGATTTACCTTTGAATCAGATGAAGCGGGAAGGTCGGTTTTTAAGGAAGAAGAGGCATCTTCAGGAGGAGGCAGGAGGTTGGCTCTGGCTGGAGTGGGCCCTGGAAAGGAGGGACTGTGGGTCAGGCCACTGATCACTGAAGAAAGGCGAGAGGGGTCTCCCTCTGGTCCCCAGACCAAGCCACTCTCTCACTCACTGCACAAACACTTATTGTCAATAATGACAGCGGCCATTTCCTGGTACTTCCAGACACCGGCTTACACACTCCTCACCAGTTACCTCATTGAAGTCTTATGGCAGCCCTATGGGTCAGTCCTATAAATAATCCCCATTTGATCAATGGAGAAATCGAGGCACTGGAGGTGGCCACTTGCCCAGGGCCACACAGAGAGGAATTGGCAGAGCCAGCCTTCAAATGAAGATTCATGTGACTTCTAACCCCTACACTGTCCTGCATAAGGAGCAGAGGAGAACACAGAGGTGAAGTAGCTACGGAGCCTGCCTTCCAGAAACCTCCACCAAGGCAGGAATGGCATTAACCAACCTCTGCGGTCAGAGGCAGACGAGGCTGGCCATAGCAGGCAGGGAGATCAAGGAGGGTTACACAGAGGAAGGTGCATTTGACCTGGGCTTGAAAAACCGGGAAATGTTTTTGACAAGTGGCTATGAGGCAGGAGGGCACTGAGGCAGTGGAACCGGGCCATGAGGAGGCATGGCAGTGGGAAAGCCTGGGCGTGCAGCAAAGATTACAGGCACGCTCACTTACCCAACACTGACATCACGCCAAACACTGTTCTAAACGCTTCACTCTGTGTTACCTCATTCGACCCTCACAATAATCCTAGGAGACAGGTACCATCATCATCATCTACTCTTTACAGACGGTGAAACTGAGGCACAGAGAGGTTAAGTAACCTTTCCAAGGGCCCACGGTCAATGGCTCCAGTCTGTGCTCTTGATCCCTTAATGAAGAAGAGTCACAAGAGAGAAGGCTTGAAGAGCAGTTTAGGATTAGGTAAAAGTCAGGGTAAAGAGGGTGACACTTCTTCCCCAGGCACCACGTGAAGATGAATCTGCAGACTAATGAGGCAGTCTGGGGTCTGCCGGATCAGAGTGGGTGCAGGCTGGGCATGAGACGGGCTGTGGTGGCTGATCCACATGGAAGCAGGCCTTGGCCAGAAGCCAGAAGCTTCAGATGTCACCATCTGGAAATAATCAAGTGGCTCCCCAGCAGGAATGGCCTCTGAGTAACTAGGGGCCCGCCCTTCCTAGGGAACCTGGCTTCAACCCCAGGGTTGCTAGCCAAATCCACCTGCTTCAGGCATTTCTGGTTCATGACATCCGGAAAGGAGTGATTAATCTGGAACTTTGGCCATAAAAAAAAACTATTTCAGAAGACTGAAAATAGCACCACGGTGAAACTAGCACCAGCCTTGCTCAACTATTCACCCAGGAGCTGACAAAACAAAACTCCCTGAGACGGGGTCTGAGGCTCCTTCATCCCACAGAGCCAAGCAGAGGGGCCGCCCTATGCCTCTCTCCCCGGGGCTTCTGCTGCTTCAAGGGTCTTTAGTTCTGTTTTCTTCACATTTTCCAGGGGTGGCTATATTTGAAAGAACTATATTTACAAGGTCCCGTGTTTGCACGCCCACACTGCACCAGGGAACCCCAGAAAGGGGTACTAACAATAAACACCCCTCTCCAAAATACACACTCAGGTGTGCACCCCAGGCACACGCACCCTCTCGGTCCCTCAGTGCACTGTAACTGTGAACTGAGCTTCAGAGGTAAGAGCTATAGCTCAGACTGGAGGTAAACCTTTGCCAAAAAAAAGGAAAAAATAAAACCAGAATATAAAATAAAATAAATAAAACCAGCAATGCGCTGCAGACCAGCTGCTGGCAGCATAACTGCGCGGGAGCCTGCTGCTCCCCCGAATCCATCCCCCATCTGTACCCGGCCCACGCTGCCCGCGGGCTGCTCCCCTGTGCCCCAGGACTGAGTGCGGAGGGGAGACTGGGGGAGACTCAGGACTCTGATGACAACTCTGGTCTCTCCAAGGACACCCTGGGAGCCTGCCTGAGACTGCAGGCAGGCAGGACACTCCCACCCAACCTGCCCACCCTCTCTCCTTCCCTTGGGCTCCAAAGGCTCCCTCAGCCCCACCAGCTCCCTCCCCATTTTCTCTCAGGCATTTGTCCTGCGAAAATCCCTGCCTGTTAATCTTGGCTTCTGTTCCCAGGTGACCTGGACTAACACAGGCCTGTGCTGGCCGCTGGCCGCTGGCAGGGGCAGGGTCCCCGCCTGGCAGAAAGGCTCCCGCCACACTCCAGGACGGAGGCCTCTGCCCTTGCCCTGCGTTCTCTTGGCCTCAGCTCCCCACCCTTGGCCGGCGTCCCACAAACCACAGCCACGCAAAGCACGGTCACATTCATCCACCTCCTCGTTGTTGGCCACCTCTCTGAGCCGTTTTCTTTCAATTCACATTAACTCACATATTACGCATTTAGCCCTGAAACCCCTCTTTTTTGTGTGCATGTGATGTATATTTTTTCTAACACCATGTTCTCACGTACCACTGGGGGTTCAGGCTGCACACCCTGGGGATCGCAGCTCCGGAGCTTCCCTCCGCGCTGCAGCCCAGCGCCGACAGGGCAGGGCTCTCACTGCTCACCTGGCCCTGCTCCTCCCCCTTGGCCCAGAGACTCCAAGGGCAGAGCTGGCCTCACACAAGCCATGACTTTCTGGTCTGACTTGATGCCTGAGGTTTGCTGCGAGGGCTGCACCAGGCCTCTCGGGCTGAGGGGACAGCTGAGTCTGCTCTTGTGACATATGAGGGCTACTAGTTGGAAGACTGGCTGAGTCTACTTAGCCCTGTGGTTTTGGGGAGAAAAGGACTGGGATTTGGGCCAATACCGCAAGGCTGACAAATCAAATAAGCACTAGCCCTTGCTTTGTAAAGGCTTGTGGAAGGAATGGGGCAGGGAGATGCTGGTCTCCACAGGGGTCATTTCCAAAACACTAAGAGTTAACCCTTCGTGTGCCAAAAATCTTACTAAAAAAAGCCATTTCCTACAGAAATCTTTCTTGAATGTCTATTTCCCAAGCAGAATGCTCTGAATCTCATCCTGCTGAGTTGCATCGTTGTAGGCACGAGTACAGGACACGGAGCAGTGCTGTACCTGATTCGGGGTTTTCTGAGTCCTGCCCCGTGGCTGGCGGTGGCTCTGCCTCCGCAGCTTCCCCACCTGCTTTCTTGGTATCCGACAGCACTGGGCTCAAGTCCTGTCTCCATCGTTACTAAAGATATGACTGCGGGGGGGAGCTGTGCTTCATTTCTTTAGCTTTCTCAAAAAAGAGCAATAATAGCCTGTTCCTCGTAGAGTTCTTGTCCAGATTAAAAGAGATGACAGTCCTAGAGCACAAAGATCAGTCTCTGCTACGTACGGAGTACCAAGGCTGGTGAGACCACGTGTAGAATAAGAATCAACAGCTTCTGACTGACAGCCCGATGGCCTCTCCTATAGCCAAGGCCTGTGATAGTTACTTCAGCTACTCAAAGCCCTTTGATCGTCTAGCTTTGAGAACCTGTTTAATGAGGTGCTCAGACCTGTCCGAGGCTCACCTGCTCACATTCTCCTCCACCTCTCTTCCCCACTTTCTCCCCACCCACTGTGAAGGGGTGAGTATACAGAAGGGCTAAGATGTGGGCTCTGGGACAACTCACCTGAACTGAATCCTGGTCCCACACCTTCCCAGCCATGAGGCTCTGGCAGGTTACGCATCCTTCCCCAGCTATCAGTGAGCAACAAGGGCCCCGCCTCCCTGGGCTGTCAGGGGGATTCAGCGAGGCCCTGCCCAGAAGCTCCCGGCCCAGCGGCCCAGCGTCTCCTGGTCAGCAGGCAGTCATTGTTCCCACCTGTCTGTGCCCTCCCCAGCCCCCCACCGCCCCCACAGTCTCCACTCCGACAAGATACCAATCAGCTTGAAGTTTGGGGCCCAATGGAACCTTGGGGTTTTCCTAAAAGACACGATTTGGGTTATTTGATGAAATTAACGATTACACTCTTTTTTGTCATTTGGGCCTGTCTCCGTCTACAAATTGTATTTATCATTTTGACCTGCCAGGGCACATGTGTTCTGGAGGGCGATTCAAGACCGTGACTGGCGCACAGGCTGGCAGAGACATGACGCTTCTTTTTTACAGTCGCCTAGATAACGAACATCAGAAGAAGCTGCTACAACTGTGACCTCCTCCATCCCCACGAGCAAGCCCCTAGGCTTTCCCTATTTTATTACTATTTTTCCCTCTGGCCATCAACCAGTATCACATTTGCATTAAGGCTGTTTCCTCTTATCTTTAATTGCTAATCAAAGTTCTGTACACGTTTTTATCTTTAGCTACAGGCAATAATTCAGACTCCTTAGTCTAGAATTAATTTTCTAGACTCAACCTATCTGGAGTGTCTGGAACCCTCCTAAAATCAGCTAACATTTAATGAGCACTTACATGGTGGCAACAATATGGTGACGTAGGTTCTATTATTATGCCCATTTTATAGATGAAGAAACTGAGATTCTGAGAGGCTAAGGAACTCTCCTGCTAGAAAGTGGCAGAGCTGGGATTCAAATGCGGGTCTGTCTAACGCAAAAGCCTGTGCACGCTCCTCTCAGCCAACAATGACCTTGGCTTCAGGACCATGTTAATGAACTAAGGTTTCATGGATTTGGGATCTTGGGCTCACCACAGGAGGCTGCAGGAGAGTGGAAGGGAGGCCAGGCGCCAGGGCAGAGGTGGTGAGAATGGAGATGTGGGCACGGGTAGCAGTCCCCCTCAGGGAAGTCATCCACAGGCTGAGTCCTTCCATCATTTGGCAAACTGTCCCGAGCCCTTCCCTGGGCACGAGGGGAGGGAGACCAAACTGAAGTGGTCTGAAAGGCTTTGGGACAGCAGTGTGTGCAGGGGTGAGGGACACCGCGTTCAGATCACACTGCTCAGAGGCTGCTTCCTGCTCACAGGACCTGGAGCAGATCCCTCTCCCCCTCAGTGCTTCAGGCGCTGCAGAACGAAGCAGCAAATCTGCAACTGGTAATGGAGGGGGGATGTGGGGGCGGGCAGCACCCGCAGTGCCCCACCTCGTGGCTGCCAGGGCCAGGGCTGTGCGGGGGGCTTGGGAACCACAGGTGAAATACCTGGGCCTGAAGCACATGACCTTGGGAGGCTACGTGACCTCTCTGTACTTCAGCTTCCTCACCTGTGACACAGGGACAGTTACAATAGCTAACTCACGCAGCTGACTGAGGGTTAAATAAGGCAACCTCTGTGAAGTGCTTGGAACAGTGTCTGGCACACAGAAAGCTTTCATTGACTGAGTTATTTCTTTCTTTTTATAAAAACAGTAAGACATGGGGGCCAGCCTCCATGGTCTAGTGGTTAAGTTCAGCATACTCCACTTTGGCAGCCTGGGTTCAGTTCCCGGGCGCGGACCTACACCACTCATCTGTCAGTGGCCGTGCTGTGGTGGCAGCTCACATACAAAAAGAGGAGGATTGGCAACAGATGTTAGCTCAGGGCAAATCTTCCTCAGCAAAAAAAAAGTAAGAAATGGTACACATTCTTTTGTTATCTGACTTTTTAAACTCAATATATCGTAAGCATGTTTCCATGTACATATAAATATCTACGTCATTGTTAACAGTATTGTTGTTAACAGTATCGTTGTTATGCAACAGTATTACTGTTGTGACCTTCTGTCATTAATTTTACCATCCCCATTGTTGTTTCCAGTTTTTTGCTACTATATGCTGAGCTGAATATCCTTATAGATACATGATTTCCTTAAATAAATTTCCTTTGAATAAAAAATTAAATTTAATTAAAAATACTTGAGCCTGGGAAGGCAGCTGTCCTCACGGGCTGCCCCTGTTCCTCTTCATCCTTGGTGTTTCTTGCAGAAGCTGCCAAAGGCCTTCCTGGCTTCACAGCATCCGGGACATATGGGATGGAAGACTTGATTTCAGGAGCTGGTTTCCCTGAAACAAGGGGGAAAGAAAGTTATTATCGGTCAATGCAGTGGGGTAGCCATTGAGGGGCTGGGTCTAGAAGTAAGAGACCGGATTCTAGTCCTGGCTCTGCCCCGAATTCACGGTGTGCCCCGGTGAGCTCTTTCCCTCTTTGGGCCTTGGCCTCCTCCTCTGTAAAATGCAGCGGTTGGACGTGACAGTCTCCTGTGATCGGCCCAGCTCTGAGTCAGACACATCTGCCTTCCAATCCTAGTAGCTATGTGACCTTAGACAAGTCACTTTCCTTCTCTGAGCCTGTCTCCTCACCTATAAAATGGAGATGATAATAATGATAATTGCTGCTTGCCTATCTCACAGGGCTGTTCGGAGCAGGGGAAATGAGAACACAGACATGAAAGGACTTTGTATGGCTATACAATTCCCTGAACACGTGGGGAAGTTAAAGATATCCATCTCACTAAGTCCCTAGTCGAGCCCCTAAATATAAAAGTTCTGGCAGTCCTTTCCCTTCCACAAGCAGTGGAAACGTGTGTTCTTCCCCATTTTATAGATGAAAACCCTGAAAATAGCAGCTACATCCACTGAGTGCCAACACTGCCAGGCCCAGGCCTAGCTTTGCATACATCAAATCCTCACCAGGTCTTTGCATTTCATCCCTGTTAGAGATGAGGAAACTGAGGCCTGAGCAGGTTGAGTGGCTTGCCAAAGATCACACAGCCTGGGCAGGCAGGACTGGCCAAAGAAGCCTGGGTGGAGGTCACCTGCCTTCTTGAGAGTAATCACTTCCCCTTGACATCGATTTGGGAAACCCCGAAGGTGCTGCAAGGGTATATCCTGCCCTGGCTTCCAGCCAGCTTCTCAGAGCCTGCTCTCTGCGAACTAGCTTCCTCTCCCCTCCTCCACCTCTGTCTTGGCCGCTGCCCCCAGCTGGGGAGGCCTCCAGATCCCTAGCCAGGGCGCATCTTACTAAAACACAGATCTGGCCTCATCATTTCCCTGCTTAAAGCCTTTATGACTCTTCATTGCCCAGATAAAGTGTACACTCCACCTGAATCCTTATATCTCCCCTTTGCCTCCCAGATCAAGTCCAAATTCTACAGCCCTGCATTCAAGGCCCTTCACCCTCTAGTGGTTTGAGGTGGACCCATGTTTGAGAATCGAAAAAACGGGGGCACTGAAGTCTGAGATAAGGCCGCTGACTTGCTCACCCCCACATGGAGCATCAGGTGGGGCTAGACAAAACGCCTCCAGCCTTTGAGTCTCCAGGAGCATTTATTCCAACAAGTAAACTCTGTCTCTAAACAAAACCAATCCCTACCGTGGGACCAAGATTTTCAAGCCCAAGCTTTGGGGCTAGAACGATATTAAGAATGCCTAGGGGGCCGGCCTTGTGTCGCAGCAGTTAGGTGCGTGCGCTCCGCTGCAGGGCCCGGGGTTCACAGGTTCAGATCCCAGGCGCGCACTGACGTGCCGCTTGCTAAGCCATGCTGTGGCAGCGTCCCATATAAAGTAGAGGAGGATGGGCACAGATGTTAGCCCAGGGCCAGTCTTCCTCAAGAAAAAAGGGGAGGATTGGCATCAGATGTTAGCTCAGGGCTAGTCCTCCTCACAAAAAAAAAAAAAAAAAAAAAAAACCGCCTAAATTCACGGCACTACACTTGTATGGCACATGCAGATTTATTTGATTTTAACGACAATCTCCGATGGTTAACAGAATTAGCTGCATTTTATTTTTGAGCATTTTGAGAATCAGATAGGTGAAATGATTTGTGCCAAGTCAAATAGCTGGTAAGATTCAAACCTGGGGCTGGTTTCACGGTCCTCCCATCTGGCTAGGGCAGAACTACACAAACACCACTGTCACTACCCGCCCTCCAGCCCCTACTCCCCTCTGCAGATGGCACCACCCTGGGGCCACTGCAGAAAAGCAGGAGAGAAGGGTGGGAACATCTCAAGAAAGGCTGGAGGGAATAGCCAAAAGGAACAAGAAGGCTGAATAGGGGATAATGGGTGACTTTGTCCTTGTGTTTCCTTTACTGTCACTGATACATTGTTCTTTGAAATGAAACTATCTTATAAAAGAAGTGGCAGAGCTTAGCTGCTCAGAGTCCAGGCTCTGGAGTGGAAACCAGCCCCATCGCTTCCAGCTATACTTACTTTGGACCCCTTTCAGGAAGACTAAGGGAGATACTGCATGCAAACCCTTCACTCGCAGTACAGGAACTTCATTACTGTTGTTGTTGTTGTTTTAAAATATTGGTTATCTCTTCAACAGCCCACATACAGAGTGGAAGGAGAGTAGGGTGGGAGTCTTTTTTTTTTTTTTTTTTGGTGAGGAAGATTGGCCCTGAGCTAACATCCGTGCTCATCTTCCTCTATTTTGTATGTGGGACACCGCCACAGCATGGCTTGAGGAGCGGTGTGTCTGTCCGCACCCAGGATTCGAACCTGTGAACCCTGGGCCACCGAAGCAGAGTGCACGAACTCAACCACTAAGCCACCGGGCTGGCCCCAAGGGTGTACGTCTTTTATTTTTCATTTAATACAACTCTGAATCATTTATACTTTGTTTTTGTTTTATTATATTTATATTTTTAATCGTGGTAAAATATACATAACACAAAATTTATCATCTTAACTATTTTTAAGTCTACAGACGGTGGCATTTAAGTCCCTTCACATTGTTGTGCAGCCATCAGCACATCCATCTCCAGAACTTTTTCATCTTCCCAAACTGAAACTCTGTCCCCATTAAACACAATTTCCCATTCCCCTCCTCCAGAGCCTGGCAACCACCATTCTACTTTCTGTTTGTATGAATTGAACTATTCGTTTAAATTTTTTTAACTTGTGTGGGTTTTTTTTCACTTTAATAGCAACTAAAATGATGTATGTGTATATCCATCAACATGGAAAGCTGTTAATATATTGTTTTTTTTAATTCAGATATAATTGACATATAACATTAGTTTCAGGTGTACAACATGATTCGATATTTGTATATATTGCAAAATGATCACCACAATAAGTCTAGTCAAGATGTGTCACACCACATATAGTTACAATTTTTTTCCTTGCGATGAGAACTTTTAAGATCCACCCTCTTAGCAACTTTCAAATATGCAATGCAGTATTGTTAACTACAGTCACCATGCTGTACGTTATATCCCCAGGACGTATTTATTTTATAACCGGAAGTTTGTACCTTTTGACTCCCTTCACCCATTTTGTCTACCTCCCACCCTCTGCCTCTGGCAACCACAATATATTGTTGAGTGACAACGAAAGAAGATATACATTACATTACCAGTTTTTTTTGTAAAATATATGTAAAAGTATAGAAGACATCTATACATGAAGAGAAAAAGACTGAAAAATATACAAAAAATGTTAGCGATTATTTCTAGGTGGTGGTGTCACCAACTAGGTGTGAGAAACTCAAAGGTGGGTTTGGAAGCAATTAACTGTTTTTCCAAGTTGTTTCTTTTCCTTTTCTATGTTAAGGAGATGTAACCACCAGCCATCCTGAAACTGACCAAATGAGGCACTCAAGGGAGATGTAACCACCAGCCATCCTGAAACTGACCAAGCCTCACCACAAGAGCTATGCCCATGACCTTTGCCTTATGTTTAATGCAAAGATCCCTCCAGGAGGAGCTTAGGCCTCATTACGTGGAAGCGTGTTCTCCAGCTGAGCCTGTGCAAGCAAATCCCTGCCTCTCCCTTTTGAATATTCATTCCCCAACCAAAATAAAAGTTCCTGCTTCCCTTTGTTCAGGGATGTCATGACTTTGGAAGTGATTCCTCATGACCTCCTATTTGCTGCAAATATACTTTACTTTGTGAGACATCCTCCACTGGTGTAGAGTCTTATTTAACTCACCAGGAGGCGAGCCCACTTGGTTCGGTATCACTGTGCTTATCAACGATTTTATATTGTGGGTTTTGGGGGATTTCTTGTTTTTTAGTTTATTCACATTGTAGAATTTTTCAACAATATAGTAAATTATGTCTCGAGAAAAAAAATCAGCAAGCAAGCTAACTAAAATAAAGATTAGAACGGCGTCTTCTAAACTATAGTGAGCGGCCGTTTGCCCTGGGGAATCCGTCCGGCCCAGATTCGCAAGCAGGCGAGCTAGACGCAGATCCAGCTCACTTCCCGTTTTTTGCCACGGACTGTCTAAGATGTGTACTTTCTATTTCCACTACAAGTATCCTCACCACAACCCTGGAAGTAGCAAGTAAGGAAACGGAGATGCAGGGAGGTGAGGAGACCCACCTGAGGGAGAAAGTGAGACAAATGGACCTTGAGACAGGAAGGTGGGGAGGCCAGGGCTGTGGGCAGGATTCATGCCCCACTGTGGGAGCCCCCCAGAACACACACTTCATTTCTCCCCACCTGGGGTCCTCAAGTACCTCAGAAAGGCATCCATGGACCACACGGCCCCACCCCAACTCCCATCAGGCCAAGGCCCTCCTGGCCAAAACTGGGAGCCTAAAAGCAAGGTTCCTCCCAACAGCAGCCTTGCCAGCAGGACTCATAAAATCACAGGTCCTTGCCTTCCACAGGCCCAGGGAGAACACACAGTCCCTTGTACACAAAGACAACAGTGAACAGTTGCCCACAGTGAATGCCGATTCATGATCCGGCACAGAGCTGCCCCCACCCCGGGGTGTGTACAGAAGCAAACACTGTGTCCCTGCCCCAGGAGGAAGGGGCCACCCCAGACCACTCAGAGTCCTCATCCTCCCTGCCTTCCCCCCTCTGGCCCGGGCAGACGGCCTCTTTCCTGGCATCTTCCCTCCACAAACCGCCTTGGGTAAGATCCCACCTGTGCTCCTCAAAGGCCCACTTCAGTGGTGTCCTCATGACATCTGTGTACGAGGCAAAAGAGTGGAGGGGGTTCCTCTGTGCGAGACCAGCCACAGCCTAGCCCCGGCTCCCCTTGAACTGGGCCTGCTGGTGAAGAGGACCCCAGACAGCGATTTCCTGCAGAGCCAGGCCCACA